TTAGAATACAGAATTTCCTATCTTGGAGGTAAGTACTGGCTATGAATGTCAAAACTTGTCTTGAACATAGAAGTCAGACCTGGGAGGAAACTCAAAACATACAATATTTGAGCTTGTATGAAATTTTCAATCGAAGAATACTCAGCTTGATTGGGACATAGAGCCTGAAATATGTTGGTCGGGACTTTATTATTGCTAAATTAAACAGTGCTTAAGACCTTGAAATGGAAATTGTCAGAACCAATGGGATTTTAACACATCAGGCCTGGGAGTAGCCAGGGAGAAGAGAATGAGAGAGATAGCACATTTAGAAGAAGGCATATCAGAGAGGAGAGCCCTATGACACAGATTGTCATAACGAGGAGTAGCCTATTCAAAACATGATACCTACTAGAGCTCTTAGAACATAGATTTCCTGAATTTGAATGGTCTGTAAAACAAAGGAGTTTTGTTATGTGCTCAATGAGCCAAAATAAGTCTATGGGCACTTTAATTTGAGAAGCATTAACAGTAGGAATTTGATTTGAGATAAAACTTTTATTTCAGTTATATTAACACAGTAGTAATGCTTGAATTAAAACTCACCTCCTGAATCACAGTGTAAAACAAAAGGTGTGAGTACTGTGCACATAATCTTGCTACCAAAAAATCAAAACAAAACAAGAAAGCAATATATTTCTTCCCAATTCCTTCATCAGTTAAGACCTCCTTTCAAAATTTTGTATTGATAATGAATGTGGAACATTTAAAAAAAAAAACACATATCAAGTGCCCAGTAATTAAAAGGAACACTATTTCTTGTGCTATTCATTTTTTTTAAATTAATGACACCAATGTGATATTATAAAAGAAAAGCAGAGGAAAAAAAAAGTGATAAGGAAAAAAAAATGCCTGTCAAAATAGAGCAAGGTTGGGCATTAGAACACAGATTGGAAGAACTAAGGATGTGCTTTAAACTACATCATGTCAGACTATAAGAGCATAAATCTTCAGAGCTAAGAGAGGCCCTAGAACACTCAATATCATAGTTTGGAAAACTTTTTTTTTAAATGTTCATGATTCAAAATATTGGGAAGAACAGTTTTATTTTAAAAAAACAACAATAAAATGTGATTTTTGGCATGAGATAAAGCATTTATTTCAGTATAATTTATATCAGTACACTAAATATGCTTTGATTAAAACTCAGGTTCTGAATTACATAGCTAAATAGGAAAGGTGAAAGTATTATGCTTTATTTGGCTTAAAAAATACATATACACAGAAAATAATGTAATTCCACCCAGTTCCTTCATTGTGTAACACTGCTATTGCTATTAATATTAATGATAATGAATACTGAGTATTTTTTAAAATAACATAAGTACATAGAAATTAAAGGGGTCACCATTCATGATTTTTAAGTTACTGGAATGAAAGACACAGAACCCTGAGAAATTACAGCAGCGTTGTTCCTTAGAAGACAGAATGTCAGAGCTTGGTGGTGACTTTTTAGGGAGAATGTTGGCATTGGAAAAAGGCTTAGAATACAGAATTTTAGAGCTTAGAGGGCAGTTCAGTCTCTGAATGTCAAAACTTGGAGCAGAATATGAAACTATATCAAAACTGACATAAAGCATTTAGAGCACAAGGTGGCCAAGCTTCATGGGGTCCTAGAACTTGGAATATCAGATGTGGCAGGGACCTTATGACTCAGAAAGTGGGAGAATTTTAAAGATTGAGAATCCAAATTGCTAGGCCCCTAGGACCTTAGCACATAGAATGTCAAGACTGGGAGCAGCCATAGAGAGGAGAATTCAGAGGTAAGACAGCCCTTAGAATCCTTAATGTCAGAAACAGTACTGTCCCGAAAATCACAGACTGTTCAACTGAAGGCCCTTAGGCTATTTCCCATATTGTAGGCATGTCTCTAATGTCAGTACATACTTCATTCAATCCCAACTTGAGGATGAAATGAGGCACTGGTAAATCATTGAAAATTTATCAGAGGAAGTTTACTTTGCCCAAACAAAGCAAAGATAGGAAGGATACAATGGATATACAAAGGATACAATACAGCTTTGGGAGAGGAGGCCTCCCACACTCAGATCAGCAGGTCATCAGAATATGATGATTCTTATTGTCTTGGGCACCCACCAAGTCCCAGAGGCCCAAAACACATGCAGCTGGGATTTTTTATGCCTCTTAACCAAGAAGTTCCATGAGGAATGCTGGGACTAATCAGGTTGTGTGAGGGGAGGAAACTACATCAGGAAACCTGGAGCTGAAGGAAATTGCCAGGGAAATCACTGGTCCTACCATACCTTGTCACTGGATTAGTGGAAGTTGAAGTCCAACTGCATATTTTTCTTTTGTAACAGATGGAACCATAGATTAACGAGGCAAAATGGTGTTCTCTAGGAGCCAAGTCCTTATAGGTGAGGGTCCATTGGGCCAGTAGAAAGAGCAGAATTTCAGGAGGGTCTCAACTAGAGGCCTCAGTCTCTGGAACAGTCACCAACTCTTTGTGGATTGAGAACTAGACCTGAAGTCAGGAAGACCTGAGTTCAAATACTACCTCAGACACTATTAGCTTTGTTACCATGGGTAAGTCACTTAACCTTAGTAAAATGGGGATCATCATAACATCTGCCTCATAAGGTTGTTGTCAGGTTCAAATGAAATCATATTTGTAAGCACCTAGTACAGTGTCTGATATATATTAGGTACTCAGTAAATGCTTGTTACCTTCTGCCCACCAGCAGAATGTAGGACTATGTGACTCCTCCCTCTATTCCCAGAGTGTCTGTTCCACATAACATCAGTCCCAACTTCCTGCTCAAATGTCACCAATTGGTCAGCTCACACCTGCATGGTTGTTGCTGGGGACACCCATAGCTAAAGTCTGAAACCATTATGGTGGGGCTTTATCCAGATCTAATTGCCCTTGAGATTGAATGGTCATTGAGTATGCTGGGCTGTGGGGGGCAGAACCTCACAAATCCCAATTATCAAACCCATTTCTTTTAAAACTTCATCCCTTTCATCTCTTCATTTTCTATCAGCATGCACTCCTTGGACTGGACTCTACTGTGTCCCCAGGAAACCTTACCAGGAAACTCATCATTCTGTAAGATTGCATCAACTTTGGTATTAACACCTCATCAGTATCCTCAGTACCTTCTGCCTTTCTGATTGGAAGGCTGGAAGGTAGAGCAAAAGTATCCTCTCAATGACTCCATGTAGAAGACTCCCGGGACAGTCATCTCTTCATTCCACCCCAGTTTGCACTCTTTGGACTGGATTTCACCACCCTTTGCAGGGTACTTTCTTCTCCACTCCCACCTCTGCTACTCTTTTCATTTTTCTTTTGTACGTGGTTTTCCTCCATTAGGTTGTAAGCTCCTTGAGGGCTGGAACTGCTTTAGTCACATTTATATCCTCAGCACATAGCAGAGTCTGGCATATAGTAAGTGCTTAATAAATGTTTATTGACTGAGTCCCCCTCTCCCCTGCAGATTGAGGAGCTTGCTGCAATGGGAATTCATCTTTAAAAGTGCAAACAACTCTCCTGTAGCTACTTAAAAGAAGACAAATTGAATTCCTGGCTGGAAACTCCAGTAACTTAAGTCGATTATGTGGACTTGAAAGTTGGTTAAAGAGGCAACAAGCTAGGTGATAAGTAAATTCATATTGTTTATTCCCTTAAGTTAGCATGTGTTTGTGGAGCCAGAGCTTTAGCTCTGACTGAATCAAGCAATTTTAGGAGGACATTTAAACCCTGACTCAGGATGTGTGTTACTCAGATTTGTGGTCTCCACGTATGTTTAACCATAGCATGAGAAAGGAATTTTCTTAATTGAATAGGTTGTAAATACAGCAAGATAGGAGAATGTCAAAGTGTAAATTATAGATCCAGGATATCTGTGTTTCCTTTACCATTAGCATGACATAACATAGCATATGTCCACAAAATACCAAGATAAGAAAATTCCCATTATTCAAGGTAATGTCCAGGTCTAAGGTGCCTTAGTGGTCATAAACAGAAGAATGCTCGTTGACACAGGATTCTTAGTTCACTCAGAGAATAAGGAAAAAGCACATCTACTATGTTGGAATGCTTTTTGTGGTTAATTAGTTCAGGTTTGGGGCTTCAAATTATCTCAAATGATTATAAATTATAAAAGTGGAGTCTCAAAGAGTTCCCCAGGCTAGAGAAATCAGTTGTTAAGGCAGCAATGACTCCATTGGACCAGTGAACACTGAACTTACTTTGCCCTAACACAAGAACATGCAAGAAGGCCAAGGGGTGTAGCTTCCCTGGACACAGTTTCCTTTTGCCTCTCCTCCCTCTCTCCCAAGAAAACAACAGAGGCAGCAAGGCAACTGAGTCAGAAACCAATCTAGTGCTGGGGTCTCAAGTGTCTAGGGGGCTGGAAATTTTCAAGCCCCTAGGTGACCAGGAGACTACTTCAGGGAAGGGGGAAGGGGATGAACAATCAGCTGCCAAGGGGGTAGCTTTGTCCTAGCCTATCCGAGGTTGGCGTGGGAGTGGGGAATGGAAGTTGAAGGCAATCGGATTCCAGAGGCAGCCATGTTGGCTATGATGGCGGAAAGGAAGTTCGTCAGAAAATTCAAGGCCAAGCAGGTCTCAGACGCAGCTTTGTCCTCAGTCTAGCCCGTATTTGTTGCTAAGGTGGGTGGGCAGGAAACTGCAGCACTGCCTGCACCAATGAGGTCTCAGACGCAGCTTTGTCCTCGGCCTATCCCATGTTTGTTGCTAAGGTGGGTGGGCAGGAAACTGCAGCACTGACTGCGCCAATCAGGTCTCAGACCGCAGCTCCGTCCTCGGCCTATCCCATGTTTGTTACTAAGGTAGAAGGTGGGTGGGTAGGAAACTACAGCACTGACTGCGCCAATCAAGTCTCAGACGCAGCTTTGTCCTCGGCCTATCCCATGTTTGTTGCTAAGGTGGGTGGGCAGGAAACTGCGGCAGTGACTGCGCCAATCAGGTCTCAAACTTTGTCCTCTGCCTCAGTGTTTGTGGTGAAGGTGGATGGGGTAGGAGGCATCTCCTCTGATGTACCTCTATGAGGTCCCGGAGGCAGCTTTGTCCTCGACCTATCCCATGAAGGTGGAAGGGGGAGGGAGGGGGGAGAAATGAAGTGCGGCAGAGAATCCAGGGCCAACCAGGTACCAGAGGCAGCTTTGTCCTCGGTCTATCCCATGTTGGCTGGTAAGGTGGAAGGTGGATGGGGAAGGGACTTGCGCCACTGTTCTGCATCAGTCAGGTACAAGGTGGAAGGTGGATGGGGAAGGGACTTGCGCCACTGTTCTGCATCAGTCAGGTACAAGAGGCAGCTTTTGTCTACGGCCTGATTGCTGTGAAATTGGAAAGTGGGTAGGTAAAGTCAGCTTTGACAGGGAAGCTGGAAGCCATTCAGGTCCCAGAGGCAACTTTATCCTAGGTCTAGGTAGTGTTGGCCTCGGAGGGGGAAGAAGAGCAAGGAAAGGAAAGTGCGTCATATGCATCTTTATTCTAGGCCTATTTGGTGTTCATTGCGGAGGTGGAGGGGGGTGGTGGTGAGAGAAAGAAAATGCGTCATAGGATCCGGAGCTGTCAGTTTTGTCCTAGACAGGGCCGGTGTTGGCCGCGGAGATGGAAGGGGGGCAAGGGAAGGAAAGTGCGTCAAAGGATCCGGAGCTCTTAATTTTGTCCTAGACAGGGCCGGTGTTGGCCGCGGAGATGGAAGGGGGGAAGGGAAGGAAAGTGCGTCATAGGATCCGGAGCTGTCAGTTTTGTCCTAGACAGGGCCGGTGTTGGCCGCGGAGATGGAAGGGGGGGGAAGGGAAGGAAAGTGCGTCATAGGATCCGGAGCTGTCAGTTTTGTCCTAGACAGGGCCGGTGTTGGCCGCGAAGATGGAAGGGGGGGAAAGGAAGGGAAGTGCTTCATAGGATCGGGGGCCTGGTAAGTCCCAGAGGCAGCCTTATTCTAGGCCTATTTAGTGTTCATTGTGGAGGTGGAAGGATGGTGGGGAGGGTGGCAGGACAGGTGGGGGTGGAGTGAGGATGGGGGTGGATGGAGGGTGGGGGTGAGGGAGGGTGAAGGAAAGAAAATGCATCATAGAATCCGGGGCCTGTCAAGTCCTAGAGGCAGCTTTTTTTCTAGGCCTTGCTAGTGTTTGCTGAGAAGGTGGAAAAGGGGGAGGGGAATTTGTCAGAGAATCTAGGGCCTGTCAGATCATGGGAGGGGCCGAGTCCTCAGCCTATCGACTATTGGCTGCGAATATGGAAGGAGGGTGGGGAAAGAAAGTGCGTCAGATAATCCGGGGCGAATCAAGTTCCAGAGGCAGCTTTGTCCTCGGCCTCTGCGGAAGGTGGAAGAGGGGGAGGGGAAAGAGTGCGTCAGAAAACCCGGGGCCAATGAGATCCCAGAGGCAGCCTCGTTCTGGACGTTCCAGCGTTTGCTGCGAAGGTGAAAAAAGGGGAGGGGAGTTCACGTCAGAGAATCCAGGGCCAATTAGAACATGGGAGGGGCTGAGTCGGCGGCCTTATCCATTATTGGCTGCGAAGAGGGAAGGAGGGAGGGGAAAGAAAGTGCGTCAGAGAATCCGGGGCCAATCAAATTTCAGAGACAGCTTTGTCCTCGCCTTTGGCAGCGAAGATAGAAAAGGGGGCGGAGAAGGTTACGTCAGAGAATCAGGACCAATCAGGTCGTGGGGGCCTCTGAGTCCTTGGTCTATCTCTTATGTTTGCTGCAAAGGTGGAAGAGGGTGGGGAAGGCGAGGCCAAGACGTGGGCCAATCAGAGCCCAGAGTCACCTTTGTCATCTTTGAGGTAAAGCATCCTTCAATTGTGGGTGGGTGGGAGAAGTGAAGCTGTGCCTCCCTTTACACCTTGGAAAGGGTTCTGGGTTGTTTCTTTTTTAGTGTGCTCAGTAGGCCAAAGTATTGAGAAGGACAGGTTAATTTAATGATTAATGACAAAATATGTTTATGCTTCGATATGCAAGATTCATTTTAATATGTTTATATCAGCACAGAAGTGGTGCTTTAATTAAATACAATGCCATATTTGGCTATATAAAAACAAAAATGTATCTCTAGGACAGCCTTAATGCGGTAAGATTGTCACTCATTATAATTGGTAGTGAATGGGGAACATTTTTGAAAAAATAAGGTGTTAAATAGGATTTAGAAGGGATACTATTTGTGATTTCAAGTTACTGTAATGTTAAGACACATGAGCTTTTTGATAAAATAAAAATGAATAAAAAATTGAAAGGGGGGGGACCCTGGGAAGTTAGAGCAGGGTGGGGCCTTAGAACACGTGATCTCATAGCTGGGTTGGTTTTTTGTTTTTTTTTTAATGTGCTGAGTTGGACAAGGTATTGGGATTCACACATTAACTTTTTAAAAAGGTTCTTTGATATGAAACAATTATTTCAATATAATTTGTATTAGCACAGGAGTGATGCTCTGAATTAAAACTCTGTTCCAGAACCACACAGCCAAAGAGGAAAGGTGAAAATACAATGTCATATATTGCTACCAAAAAAAAAAAAAGGTAATTATTTGCACAGTCCTGATCAGGTAAGACTTAATACATACTTAATTGACAATTAATTTGCATTTATTGGGGGGAAGTGTTAAGTATATGAGGTTTAAAAGAAATATTTGTGCTCTTAGCAATTTGAAGGTATTACTAAGAAAAATATGCAGTGTCATAAAATAAAAATAGATTAAAAAATATAAACGTCCTAGCATATTAAAGCTGGGTAGGACCTCAGACAAGTCCCTAGAATATGGAATGTCTCAGCTGGAAGGTGCTTTTTGAGCAATGAATGCTAGAGCTTGAAGAGAACTTGGAATACAGAATTTCAGAGCTGAGAAGGCAGTCAGGGTTCTAAATGTTAAGATTGGGAGTGAACTTAGAAGCCAGAATATCAGAGTCAGCTGGGCTCTTAGAACATAAAATGTCTGAGCTGAGAGGTATTTTAGCTTCTAGAGTGCCTGATCTGAAAAGGATCTTGAGAACAAGGAATATTAGAGATAGGAAGGACCTTAAAACTCAGAAAGTAGGAGATCATAACTAAGAAGACAGAGCCAGTGGGACCTTAGAATAGAGAATATCAGAAGCAGGCCTTCGAATAAATGGTATCAGATGTAAGAAGCCTTTAGACCATGGCTTCTTAAACTTTTTCTATTCTTGACCCCTTCAGTGCTTTTTAAACTGTGGGTCTTGACCTTGTATAGGATTGAGACTTAGACCACAGAATGTCAGAACTAAGGGTGTATTTCAACCATGCAATATCAGAGCTTTAAAAGCCCTCAGAACATGATATGTCATAAGTCAGAAGGGCCTTAGGATACACAATATCATAATCTTGCTTAGCAAGATATTGAAAGTGATAGGTTACTTTAAAATAGTAAAGTATATGTTATGATATGCAAAATTTATTTCAATTAAAGTTATACCAGCACAGTTTTGATGTTCAGAATTAAAAGTCTTGAACTATATTAATAAAGGAGAAAGGTAAAAGTTTAGTGCTTTCTCTGACACTAATGAGATAAATGTTATTGATAATAAATTGGTTATGTTTATTGAAAATATGAAGTGTTAATGTTGAAAAAGGTCATCATTTGCGCTGGATTGTTAAGAAAAATCTGCAGTGTCATAAAAAGAAAAGAAAAAACCTCAGGTAAGAGCTGGGTGGGGCTTTTGAACATAAAATGTCTAGGCTGGAAGGTGCCTTTCAGAGTAAAATAATGGCAATGGGAGAAGGCTTAGAATACAGAATCTCAGAGTTGGGGGGGCAGGCTGCACACTGAATGTCAAATTTGGGAGTGGACACAGAAGCCAAAATATCAGACCTGGGAGGGGACTTAGAACATGGAACATACATGTTCGTCCTGTAATTGAGAGGTATCTTAGCATGCAGAATGCCTGGGCTGAGGCTGTCAGGCCTGGGAATAGTCCTTGAGAGGAAATTCTCCATTCTCGGAGGGCAATAAGAACACACAATATCATAAGCTGGGGTTCAATGGTTTTTATTAGCTTAGTTGAGTAATTATTGGAAGTGACTGGTTAATTTAGAAAAAGAATAACAGCATATTTATTGGGTGAGATGCAACATATATTTCAACATAATTTATGTCAGCATAGTTTTGATGTTCTGAATTAAAAGTCAGGTCCTGAAGAACAGTAATAAATTCAGTGCCTTATCTGGCTACCAGTAATTCCCTGTATGGCCTTGATTAGGCAAGACTGCCACTGATAACAGTGTTTTGGGGAATGAATTGGTTGAATTTATTGAAGGAAATAAAGTATAATAAGTTTCAAAAGGTACACATGCTTTGAAATCATTATAGTGCTAAAATACATGTGCAGTGTGATAAAATCAAAATAAATAAATAAATGACAAGGGTAAAAACCCTGATAGATCCAAGCTGGGCAGAGTCTCAGAGCATGCTGTATTAGCTCAGGGAGGTTCTTAGAGCAAGGAATTTCTGCCCTATAATGTGCTTTTTGAAGGGTCACGTAGAAAATAATGGAAGAGAGCTTAGAATACAAAATTTCACAGCTGGGAAAGTACTGAGTGTCAGAAATGTGAATGACCATGGAAGTCAGAATATCAGACCTAACTGTACTCTTAGAACATAAAATGTCTCAACCTGGAGGCATCTTAGAATCAAGGACACTTCAACTGAAAGGATCTTGAGAACAGGGAATATCAGAAGTAGGAGAGACTCTAAAACTAATAAAGCAGGAGATAGTGAAAGCCTGAGAACTCAGAATGTCAGAGGTTGGAGAATCTTAGAAAAAGTGTTAGCAGAACTGTGAGAAGCCTTCAAACACAGAAGGTTGAAATCATAGAATGTTAGAGCTGGGAGGGCCCTTAGAAAATAGATTGTCAGAGTGGAAAAGGTGCTAAGAACAGGAAATCTCATAGGTGGAAGAGGGTTTTTTTAAAAAATGTGTACAGTGAGGCAAGGTTTTAGGAATGACAATATTAAATGATATATTTGGTATGAGATGAAATACTTATTTCAATATAATTTAGATCAACACAGATTAAAACATGTTCTGAACCACATATTCAAAGGGCAGAGGTACCCAACAAACCCAAAACCATACAAAAATATAATTCTATGAGGTGACTTCGCCAGGAAAGACTGCTGTAGCTGTTTCTAAAATTTTAAGCACACAGGATTTTAAATAACTGTATTGCTAAGACATATGTAATTTAATAAAAATTAAAATGAGTATGTAAATTAAAAGTAAAAAAACCCAACAACCTAGAATATCAGAGGAGTGAGGAGAGGCTTAAGACCACAGGGCTAGGAGATTCTTTAGAACATGCAACGTCTGACTTGAAGACATGGCTTTCAAGAGAATATACTGGAGGCTGGCTATAGTTTAGTGAATTTCAGAGGTAGGAGTAATCTAAGAATCACAGAATGTCAGGGTGGGGAGGGCCTTTAAAACACAGATTATCAGATCTGGGAAGGGCCTTCCAGTGTACAATATCATAGCTAGGAAGAAGCTTTTTTTTTTTTTTTAAATCTACTCAGTGGGCCAACATATTGGGAAGGATAGTGGGCAAAGGTATTGAGTGGATCAGGTAAATTAAAAAAAACAGTTACAATGTATATTTATGCTATGAGATACAACATGTATTTCAATATAATTTACTTCTGTACAATTTTGATGCTCTGAATTAAAAGTCAGGTCCTGAACATCACCACAGTGGAAGGGTGAACAATGCGTGTTCTGCAAAAAAAAAAAATATAAGCACGGATCAGGTAAGATTGCTATGGATATTAATATTGTATGATGCAATGCATAGAATGTTGGACCTGGAATCAGGAAGACCTGAGTTCAAATTTGGCCTTAGACACTTACTTGCTGTGTGACCCAGGACATGATTTGGTTATATTTTTTTGAAAAATATAAAGTGTTAAATATATAAGACTTAAAAAGGACACCATTTGTGCTTTTAAATCACTGTATTGCAAAGCATATGCAATGTAATAAGTAAAAATGAATAAATTAAAAAGAGAAAAGAACCTTAAAATATATCACAGAAGGTACAGGGCTATATAAGGTTCTTTAGAATATGAAATGTCTGACTTGGAAGTGCCTTTCAAGACAATATACTAAAGTTTGAATATAACTTAGAATAGTGAATTTCAGACATGGGAGTGACCTAAGAATCACAGAATGTCAATGGAGAGGGCCCTTAAAACAGATTGTCGGAGCTGGAAAGACTGGGAAGAAGGGTTTTTTTAATGTGTTCAGAGGGCCAATGTATTGGAAGGGACAGATAAATTTTTAAAAGAAAATAATTATATATATTTATAGTATGAGAGAGAACATTTATTTTGATATAATATATTTCTGCATAATTTTGATGCTCTGAATTAAAAGTCAGGTCCTGAACTACAGTGCCAAAATGGAAAGGTGAGCATATAATGCCATATCTGGATGCCAAAAAAAAAAATTCTAAGCACGGATCAGGTAAGATTGCTATTGGATATTAATGTTATGTGATGCAGTGCATGGCGTGCTTGACCTGGAATCAGGAAGACTTAAGTTCAAATCTGGTCTCAGACACTTACTTGCTGTGTGACTCAGGACGTGAATTAATTGTACTGAAAAATATAAAGTGTTAAGTACACAAGACTTCAAAGGACACCATTTGTACTTTAACATCATTATAAACATATGCAATGTCGTAAAATGAAAATAAATAAAGGAAAAGAAAAATAGTCCTAGAAAGTCAGAGTGAGATTGGGCCATAGTCCAAAATACTTTGAGGTTGCGAGTGGGGGTGGGGTAGGGATTGTCTTTTGAAGTAGAACTTTGGAGGTAGGAGACAGCTTTAGCCAACAGAATTTCACAGATGGCAGGTTAGGCTGCACATTGAATGTCAGAACTGAAAGTAGACACAGAAGCCAGGATACCAAACCTGAGAGTAGACTTAGAACATGGAATGTACAAGGTGGGAGGCATCTTAGCATCCAGAAGGCCTGAAGTGGATGGAGCCCTAGATACCTGGAATATCCCAGTTTGGAGGGATCTTTTAAAACAGTAAGTCAGAGTCATGGTCAGAGTCCAAGAACCCAAACTATCAGAGCCCATGAGACCTTAGAACATAGAATGTCAGGCCTGGGAATAGGGGGAATAGCGCTAGAAAGGAGAATCTCAGTGCTGGGAGGGGAATGCTGAGAGGGGACTTAGAACACCCAATCTCAGAAGGTTGGAGTGCAGTGGATTTTATTGGTTCAGTGGGCTAAATTATTGGGAATGACTGGTTAGTTTAGAGAAAAAGGAATAACAAAGCATATTTATGATATGAGATGCAACATGTATTTCAGCATAATTTATGTCAGCACAGTTTGAGGCTCTGAATTAAAAGTCAGGTCCTGAACCACAGACACAAAGAAGAACAATAATAATATGGTGCCTTATCTGGCTACCAAAAAAAAAAAAGTAATTCCTTGTATGGCCTTGATCAGGTAAGACTGTTATTGATACCATTGTTATTGGGAATGAATTGGTTGAATTTATTGAAGGAAATAAAGTGTTAAGTATTCAGGATTCAAAAGGGAAACCTTTTTGAAGGGTGAATGTTACAGCTGAATGTCAGAATTGTCAGTGGCCCTAGAAGCCAGAATATCTGACCTGGGAGGGCACTTAGAACATAAAAGGTCTGAGTCTGGAGCCCTCTTAGAATCAAGACTATCTGAGCTGAAAGGATCTTGAGAAGAGGAGATATTAGAGGTAGAAGGGACCCTAAAACTCATTCAGTGGGAAATGATGAATGTCTGAAAACCTAGAATGTCAGAGCTGGTGGGACCTTAGAACATGACTCTCATAGCTTGGTAGGCCCAGTAGGCCTTTTCACAAAAGGATACCAGAATTATGGAGGATGTCAGAGGTACAGTGGGGCTCAAACCACAGACTAGAAAAGCAGAGAGGGCCCTCAATATCTAGTGTTTAGAGTTAGGGGGGTCCTGAGAACACAGAATATCAGAGCTTGGATGGAGGGCTGTTTGTTTTGTTTGGTTTTTTTGTTTGTTTGTTTGTTTTGCTCAGTGGGCCAAGATATTGGGAGTGCCTGGTTAATTAAAAGAAGACTAACAAAGTATACTTATGGTATAAGATGCAACATTCATTTCAATGTAATTTATATCAGCACTATTGATGCTCAGAATTTTAAAAGTCAGGTCCTGAACTGCCCAGAGATAAAGAGAGGTAAAAATACAGAGCATCGTTTGAGTACAAAATAAAAATGATTTCTGTGCACTGCTTTGATTGGGTAAGAATAAAATTGATATTAATGTTGTTGATAATTAATTGGTTTTATTTATTGAAAACAAAGTGTTAAGTATGCAGTATTCAAAAGCACTACCATTTGTGCTTTTAAATCACTGTATTGCTAAGAAACATATGCAGTGACATTAAAAAATGAAAAGAAAAATCCCTGGGAGGTCAGAGCTGCATGAGGCCTCAGAATGTAGAATGTCTGGTTTGGGAGGTCCTTAGAACATAGAATCACCTGACCAAAGTAAAAATTCGAAAATACAGTTACTTATCAGGCTAAATAAAAAGGACAAAACTAATTCATGCAGTATCTTGGTCACATAAGACTGCTATTGATGTTAAAGTATTGGTAATGAATATGGAATGTTTTTTTTTAAAAGTGTTAACTGCACAGGATCTAAAAGAGACAACTTTTGTCTTTTCAAATCATTGTATTGCTGAGACTCAAAAAGAAATGAAGAAGAGGAAAAATCTCCAGTGTCATCCTGGGGCCAAGGATATTAGGGTCCTTGGAACACAGAGTGTGTGGGTGCATAGTTGCTTTTCAAGGGAGTATTTTGGAGGTAGAAGAGAACTTACCAGAGTTTGGACTGAAAGTCAGAACTGGGCATTGATGTAGAATGACTATCAGACCTGGGCGGGGACTTCGAACACAGTGTTTCTGAGCAAGGCAACATCTTAGAATCAAGAATGCCTGAGCTGGATGGGTCTCTAGAACATGGAATATCAGATGTGGAAAGGACCTTATAACACACAAAAGTGAGAGATGTTCAGGACCAGAGACCAAATTGGCAAGAGCCTGGGATACCTTAGCACACAGAATGTGAAATTTGGGAGTAGGCATAGAGAAGGGATAACGGAGCTAAGAGAACCTTTCCAACACAGAATGTTAGGACTAGGAGTGGCTATAAAACCAGAAAATTTCAGGGATGGGACTGCCCTTAGAGCTTAAAGTCCAGAAGTAAGTGAAGTCTTTAAAACACAGGATAGCAAAGGTGAAAAGGCATCGTGTCTTGTTTTGTTCTAATCTCATTGGGCCACGGTATAGTCATATTGGTTTTTTAAAAAGCAGTGATAGAATGATATGAAATATTTATATCAGTAAAATGATGATGTTCCAAATTAAAACTCAGGTTCTGAACCACACAACCAAAAGGAAAAATACAGTGCCTCATTTGCCCCCCCCCAAAAAAAAATACAACAAAAAGAATTCCATGCAATACCTTAGAGGACTCTTAGAACACAAATTATCAAAGCTAGAAGGGGCCTTAGAATACACACTATAGCTGGGAAGGATTTTTGTTTATGTGCTCTGTGGGCCAAGGAATTGGGAGGGACAGGTTAATTAAACAATAATAATAAAGTATATTTATGGTATAATGCACAACATTTATTTCAATATAATTTATATAAGCATAGTCTTGATACTATGAATTAAAAGGTCTTGGACCATGCAAAGAGGAAAAGTAAAATAAAGAGCCTTATCTGGCTGCTGGGAAAAAGTAATTATCATGCAGGTCCTTGATCAGGTAACACTGCTCTTGAGAGTAATTAACTGACTATATTTATTGAAGAAATAAAGTGTTATGCAAGGGTGTGTTTGTAAATGTTGACAGTGGACGGGGGGGGGATTGACACATGACACACTTTTACATTTAATCTGTTTTAATAACATTTTTTTTTATCACTTTAAGTCTAGACAATAAACAAAACAAGCCCTAATTTTTAGTTTTTGTTGATTTCTAAGATGTACACTAAAAAATTTTAACATTAGGCTTATCACAATCCAGGAAGAGCTGTTTGGAGCACACCACTGTTAAGTGTACAGGATTTAAAAAGGTCATGATATATATTTTTATATCATTAGATGACTAAGAACCATATTCAATGTCATAAAATAAAAATGAGTAAACAGAAAAAATTCCCAGCTTAGTGGAGCCTTAGAACATAGAAAGTGAGGGTTGGGAGGTGTCTTTCAAGAAAGAATATTGGGTGTGGAAGAGATGTTAGAATAATTTCAGAGGTCACTTAAAACAGAATGTATGATCTAGGAGACATCTTAGAATGCAGAATGACTAAGCTGAAATTACTGCTACAATAGGGATTGTCAGAAGGTGGGAAGAAGCTTAGAGAGTGGAAAGGTACTTCTCTGGTTACAGAAATTGTCAGAGCTTACGGGACCTTAGGAAACAATAGAATATCTGAGAAACTTTAGAAGCAAGAATGTCTAGGCTGATGGAATCCTTAAACCTAGAACGTACAGTTTGGAGGCACCTTATAACAGAGGACTTAGAAGATGGTCATTCTGAGACTCCAAACTTTCAGAGCCTTGGGGCCTTTGAACACAAGGTCAAGTGTGGAAATAGCCTTGGAGAAGGAGAGTCTTAGTGCTGGGGGCACATTTAGAACAAAAGATAGATCTAAGAGAGCCCGTAGAACACAGAATATCAGAAAGAAGGGTAGCTTTAAAATGGCA